GTGGTGGTAGTGGCGGCGGTAGTGGTGGTGGCAGTGGTGGCGGTATTCATGGCAGTGGTGGCGGTGGTATGGTGGCGGTGGTGGTAGCAGTGGTAGCGGTGGTGATAGTGGTGGGAGTAGTGATGGCAGTGGTGGTAGTGACGGTGGTAGCGGTAGCGGTGGTGGTAGTGGCGATGGTAGTGGCAGGGGTAGTGGTGGCGGTAGTGGTGGTAGTGGTGGTGGTAGTGGTGGTGGCAGCCGGTGTTAGCAGCGGTAGCAGCACTCGGCTCGACGGCACTGCCGTGGCGGGGAGTGAGTGAGTGAACGGGTGTCAGGGTGAGTGAGTGAGTTAACAAGCGACTGAGTGAGTGAGTTAACGGATGGCTGAGTGAGTGAGTGAATGAACGGGCAACTCAATGAGCAAGTGGCTAAGTGAGTCAGTGGGTGGCTGAGTGAACAAGTGTCAGGGTGAGTGAGTGAGTGAGTGAACGAGCGGCTGAGTGAATGAGTTAACGGGCGGCTGAGTGAGTGAGTGAACGGGCGACTGAGTGAGCGAGTGACTAAGTGAGTCGTGGGTGACTGAGTGAGTGAGTGAGTGAACGGGTGTCAGGGTGAGTGAGTGAGTGAGTGAACGAGCGGCTGAGTGAGTGAGCGACTGAGCGGCTGAGTCAGTGACTGTACGTTTTGAGTGAGTGACTGGATGTGAGCCAATGGGCGTCTTTTAAATCGGGGTGGCTGAGCGAGTCCCTGTACTGAGTGGGCGGGCGAGCGGGTGGGCGGGTGAGCGTTATTTTACCTATTCTTAGGTTTTTTCGGTAAAGTCACGTAGGAAAAAAACATTAAAAAGTAAAATAAAATAAAAATCACGACGTTTCGGAGGCAACACAAGCTTCCGTCTTCAGGTGGTACCGTCACAGCCACGACAGCTGTATCAAGTAAATGAGAGATTGCAGGAGCTACCACTCCGTTTATATAATGGTTGGAGAGGGGGGAAGGGCCAAGTAAAGCACACTTTTTATTTTATTTTACTTTTATTAATTTTAATGTTTTACCTACGTGACTTTACCGAAAAAACCTAAGAATATGAATCATTGCAGTCACGAAAGCTTCAAATCTAGAATTAAGTTATTTTACCTGTTCGCAGGTGTGCGTGTGTCTGGTGAAAAACTCCGGCCTGGGGTTCAGCATCACTGGTGGCGTCAAGGGCCAAGGAAACCCCTTCCGGCCAGGAGACACGGTACGTACAACAACACAACAGCGATTTGTGTTGACGCTTCAGGTGACTTTCAGACCGCATTCCATTCTCTTCCTCTCCCCCCTCCTCTTTTACGAACACAGATGGACTCGTCCGTCTGAACAGCTGCTAATTCAATCTTAATGTTGGAGCTTTCGTGACTGCTGGTATTTTTCGTTGTTTCTTTCGGTAAAGTCACGTATAAAGATAAAAGAATTAATTAAATAATAGCATACGACGTTTCGATTGCAACACAAGTAATCGTCATCAGGTGTAATGAAATAGCGACACAAAAATCTAACCAGAAAACCATAGACAGACATACAAGCAGACAGATATCACCAAGATACACTCTGTACCTGTGTTGCTCTCTCTGTGTATCTTGGTGATATCTGTCTGCTTATATGTCTGTCTATAGTTTTCTGGTTAGGTTTTATGTCGCTATTTCATTATACCTGATGTTGATTGCTTGTGTTGCATTCGAAACGTCGTATGCTATTATTTAATTTATTATTTTATCTTATACGTGACTTTACCGAAAGAACCAAAGAATAACTGCTAATTCGCTGTCCGTGGTGCTGACGTTAAGAAAAAAAACCGCTACTTAAAAAAAAAAAATTTCTGTGGATTTCACACCTGATGACGATTGCTTGTGTTGCAGTCGAAACGTCGTGAGCATTTTTATTGTTTTATATTTTTATTATTTGATTGTTTCCCTTCTACGTGACTTTACCGAAAGAACCAAGAATATGAATCCCTGCAGTCACGAAAGTTTTACCTCAAAATTTAGGTGTTAAGATGTTAAAACACCAAACTGAAACCTTTTACAAGGAATCATGTCTACATTAACCACAATGATTGTGGTCAGATTGCAAACAAAAAACGTACTCTGATAATACATGCATTGTCCTTGAAACTGATTGGTCCACACCAGAGACAGCTTTCTTTTGAGCCTCGTCTCAAAACGTTGTCAGACCAGAAGACGCCAAAAGGCGCACACAGCACAAAGACAACATCACCATCAGAGTAACGAGAGCTCGGGGTGAGCATCTACATCATGGGACCTCCATTGCCGGTACCAAAAAATGAGGATAGGTTTTTCCCTTTTCTTGTCGCCATCAAAAAAGGGGCAAACCCCATTCTCATATTTTAGTACCGGCAAAGGAGGGCCCACAATGCAGATTACCCGTCCACTTATTTTACCACCAACCAACCTGTTCGCTTGCGATCATTTGTTTTTCGTTTCCCCTCCCTTCGCAGGGGATCTTCGTGACGAGGGTGCAACCCAACGGCCCGGCGTGCAACCTCCTGGTGCCCGGAGACAAGATCATGAAGGTGAGGACGGGCTGACTGACGGGCTGACTGACGGGGTTTAGAACGCGGCGGCCCAAGGCTCGCCCCGCCGTCCCCCGTCGTGCCAGGCTGGGTGCACGGGGCGGTGGGCGGGGGGGGTCCTCGCTGACAGGCAGAGGTCGCAACCGGGTACCCGATACCCGTACCCTACCCGATACCTGGCTACCCGTACCCTGGTACGGGTACCCGTTTGCGACCCTGGTGCGGCCGGGTACGGGTAGGCCGTGAGTCACTGGTGAGTCGCCGTTTGTCACTCATCTCCCAACGTCTTGTCTCTTCTCACAATTCAAGTTCCTAGAATCAACCCACCCGCGCCTGCAACATGGCTTCGTCCCAGAGGTCGCAATCGGGTACCCGATACCCGTACCCTACCCGTAACCCGGCCGGGTACGGGTAGGGTACAGGTACGGCCGGGTACGGGTACGGGTACCCGTTTGCGACCCTGGTGCGGCCGGGTACGGGTACGGGTAGGCCGTGAGTCACTGGTGAGTCACCGTTTGGCACTCGTCTCCCAACGTCTTGTCTCTTCTAACAAGTCTCTATGTGTGTCTCTATGAGTCTCTCTGTGTGTCTCTATGAGTCTCTGTGTATCTCTATGAGTCTCTATGAGTCTCTGTGTATCTCTGTATCTCTCTGAGTTTCTGTGTAGCTCTATGAGTCTCTGTGTATCTCTATGAGTCTCTGTGTATCTCTATGAGTCTCTGTGTATCTCTATGAGTTTCTATGTATCTCTATGAGTCTCTGTATCTATATGGGTCTCTATGAGTCTCGATGTGTCTCTGTGTATCTCTATGGGTCTCTATGAGTCTCTATGTGTATGTCTATGAGTATGGTCTCTATGTGTATCTCTATAATTAAGTATCTCTATGAGTCTCTGTGTATCTCTATGAGTCTCTATGTGTCTCTATGGGTCTCTATGTATTTCTATGTATCTCTATGGGTCTCTATGTATCTCTATGGGTCTCTGGTATCTCTATGAGTCTCTCTGTGTCTCTACGTACTACTACACGGTCCTTAGTTTTGGCTTGTCCACGGCCACAATCGCACCGCTGTTACACCCGTGACGGAGCTGCGTGCATCGGCCTGCGCACGTGATGTCCGACGCCGGCCGATGGTGGTGTTCCCACCACCACCGTCGTCTTCGAGGACGAGGAGGAGGAGGATGGACGTCAAAGGCCGGGAAGTGGTGCGATGATGTTTGCGGCCTCCCATGAGGAGGCGTTTAGCGTTCCGGACGTGCGCGTTGTTCCTTTAACACGGGCCGGTGCGTCTGTGGCCCCTGAACCCCCGTCCCCGTGTCTCCCCTCTCTTGCTTCCTCAACCTCAACCTCCTCCACCACCTCCTCCTTGTCTCCATTCTCCCCTATCTCTACTCTCTCTCCCCTCCTCTCTCTCTCCCCTCAATTCCCCCTTCTCTCCCCTCCATTCCCCTCCTCTCTCTCCCCCCCTAACCATCTCTTCCCTCTATCCCCTATCTCCCCCCTCCATTCCCTCCATTCCCTCTCTCCCCTCATTTCATCTCTACCCTCTATCCCCTATCTCTCCCCTCCATTCCCTCCATTCCCTCTCTCCCCTCCATTCCATTTCTTCCCTCTCTCCCCTCCATTCCCGTCTCTCCCCTCAATTCCCCTCAATTCCCCCTATTCCTTCTCTCCCCTCCATTCCCTCTCTCCCCTCCTCAAATCTCTCCCCTCTCTCTCTCCATCCTCTCTCTCCATCCCCCCTCTCCCCATACCCCCCCTCCCCCGCGTCTCCTCTCCCCCCCCCCCCCCCCCAGGCTAACGGCTACAGCTTCAATCAGCTGGATCACGACCAGGCAGTCGCTCTGCTCAAGAGCTTCCAGAGTACCGTGGACCTCGTGGTGCTGAGAGAGGTCGCGACCTGAACGGGGAGAGGTCACGACCTTGAACGGGGTGGGGGTCGCGACCTGCACGGGAGGTAGCGAACTGAACGGGGTCACGTCGTCCGGAACGGGAGGTCGCGACCTGAATGTCCACACCCCTCCGCCTCCCGCCCTCACACCACCTTGCTTGTTTAATTGCGTCTGACCCGAGCCGGTGGGTGTGTATGGGTGTGTGGGTAGGTGGGTGTGTGGGTAGGTGGTTGCGTGCGTGGGTTGAGGTGTGTGTGAGTGGGTGTGTGGTGTGTGTGTGGGTGGGTGTGTGTGTGTGTGGGGCGTGTGGTAGGTGGTTGTGTAGATGTGTGTGGGTGGGTGTGTGGGTGGGTGGTGTAGGTGTGTGTGGGTGTGTGGGTGGGTGTAGGTGTGTGTGTGGGCGTGTGGGTAGGTGCTTTTGTGGGTGGGTGGAGTGTGTGTGGTGGGTGCGTGAGTGGTTGCATGTCGGGTTTGTGTGTGGGTGTGTGTGTATGTGTTGTGTGTGTGTGGGTTGGTGTGTGTGTGTGTTGGGGTGTGTGTGTGTTGGTGTGTGTGTGGGTGCTAGCGGGTAGGGATGGGTGCCGAGCTCTGTGAGGCGTGCTGAGAGAAACTCAACTATGAACAGGTTTTTGTTTTATCAGCTAACTTCCCGCTGATGTTGTTTATCTCTTCGTCGGGCGCGACCTCGCCACAATCACACCGCTCGACAAAGTCGATTATCGCCACGGTGGCCACATCTATAGCAGCAGCCAAATATACTCTTTAAATGCATAGAGATGCATAGAGACCAGGGCGGTTTCTTCATTAGGGCGATTGGGCGACGCACCACCAATGTCATTCAACCACAGAGTCACGCTAGCCGTCACTGTGCCTCTGGATATAGTCCAATCAGCGTCATGTCACGTTCTGTGGAGTACCGCCTCTTTTTGGGCGATTTCACTCCGGCTGAGAATCGGCCAGAGTGTTCCCATAGACTTACATTCAAAGATGTTTTTTTTTCGACCGGGGGGCGCTGCAATGCATTCTCTATGGCTTCCGGGAGGGCTCGCCCTAACGTGCTAACGTCATCATACGTAAGCACGTTTCATCCAACAATATAATTTGTCGCCACCTAGTGGAATCTTTAATAAAAGAAACTTGAGTGGATTGTATTAATAGTGAGTATAGAAACAAACAAGATGTATTGTAAGAGTCACTTTATTTTTCATTAATATTAAAGAAGTGAAGTTGCCTTTACATGCTTAAGCTGTTAATTTATCCATTGCATGGGTGGACCTTATCCTTATCAATCATCCAGACATTTGCCCCCCCTGAGAGATTTTGCAGGAGCCGCCACTGATAGAGACCCGTAAAGATACATAGAGACCCACAGAGACACACAGAGACCCACAAACAAGACGATTAACTCTATTTACTTTCATCTTCTTGGTTCTGTCGGTAAAGTCACCACGTAGAATGTAAATAATAAAAGAATAAAATAAAACATCATAAAATACAATTCTCACGACGTTTCGGCCACAACGCAAGCAGCCGTCCTCAGGTGAAGAACAGGTCTGTCGAGAAGAAAGAGTCTGAATGACACACCCCAGGCTTGGAGCGTCTTTTTAAATCCTTTATTAAATCCTTTATATTAAGTTCGCGTGCTTGCTTGCTTGCTTAGGACCGTGCAAATCTTTCAGTCGTTTTTTAACCCACTTTCCGTGATCCAATCGAGCTGACATTTTCCACACAGACTCGTTGTGCCAGACAATTATTGTTCGTGAAAAAAAATTCCCAAAATTTTACACTTTTTAGGCAAAAAAATTTTATTTTACATATATTCAAGTAGAACGCATTCATGGCTTTGGCTGAACGTCAGAGTGTAAGAGCCCAGAGCGTAACCCCTCCACAGGCCGTGGCGGAGTAGTGCAGTTGGTAGCGCCCTCGCTTCCCATGCCAAAGGTCGCGGGATTGATCCCCGCGTCCTCCACAGGCGAATATATGTTTAAATCCTTTATATTAAGTTCGCTGCCACGCATATAAAGGATTTATAGTGAAAAACTTTGTTTTTACGGGTTATACTTATATTAAGTTCACTTGCTTGCTTAGGACTGTGCAAATCTTTCGGTCGTTTTTTAACCCACTTCCCGTGATCCAATCGAGCTGACATTTTGCACACAGACTCGTTGTGCGTGACAATGAATTTTCGTGAAAGAAAAAAAATTCCAAAATTTTACACTTTTTAGGAAAAATAAATTATATTTAATTACCAATTGCTTAATGGTGGCAGACAATCATCTGACCCATAGGTGGCAGCTCTCAAGCCAGAGGACGAGAGGACTCTAGCCGCCATGCATATAAAGGATTTATAGTGAAAAACTTTGTTTTTACGGGTTAATTTTCCCCCAGGTCGTTTAAAACATCGAGGCTTGCTTATAGGGCGAGTGGCTTTCGCTTTGTGCCTACTCTTTTCTTGCCATAGAAATGTGGAATTTCCGCCACCGACGTATACGACTGCTGCCCAGCGTTTTAGTCTCTTGACGATTCCACTCTCACGTTAGAGCACAACGTGAACAGCTCCTAGGCGGAGCGTTAGATTTAGCCGCGCGCGCGTGTGTGTGTGTGTGGGGACGTGGATCGTAGCGTGGTATAGTAGCTACTACTACTAGTTAGTAGTAGAGATGGAATGGTGGATTATAACGTGGTACAGTAACTTCTACTACTCGTACTACTACTACTACGCGAGATGTGATAGTGGATTGTAACGTGGTATAATACTACTAGTAGCAGTACTAAAAGATGGGATGGTGGATTGTAGCATGGTATAGTATCTACTACTAATACTACTAGTACTACTACTAATACTAGTAGTACCAGTACTATTACTACTAATAGTATGGGATGGTGGATTGTAACCTGGTACAGTATCTACTACTTCTTCTACTATCACTAGTACTACTACTAATACTATTACTAGTAGTAGTACTAATACTACTAGTAGTATGGGATGGTGGATTGTAGCATGGTATAGTATCTACTACTAACACTACTACTAGTACTACTACTATTACTAGTAGAGATGGGATGGTGGATTGTAACGTGATATAGTATCTACTAGTACTACTAGCTACTACTACTACTAGTAGTATTAGTACTACTAGTACTACTAATACTACTACTA